CGCCGGTGACCGCCCCCCGAGACCAAACTCGACCCCAAACTCTGCCGGCCCCCCAAAACGTCTCCTTCGCGCCTCTGCCCCAAACATTTCTCCTCGGGCTCTCGCGCCTACCAAGAAGTCTCCTCAGATTTTTCCCTCCCCCTCCGGGGGAAAAAATCTCAGAATCTCTTCCTCCAACTCCGAAAACATTTTCAAGGTCTCGCCCCCAAAAGATCGCCCCTCCCGCGCTCGTCCTCCACGAACCACCCAAACTCTCCTCCGCCCCACACCCCCATTCCTCCGCGGGTGCGCCCACCGGTTCTGCCCCGCCGCCCCGGGTCCCCTGACCCCTCACGGGCCGGACGCCCCCGCTGGCCGCCCTCCTCGCCCTGAGCCCACCCTGGCCCCCGCGCGGCGCTCCCGCCGCCTCCCCGAGGATCCCTCACCTCGGCCGCTCTGGCCCGCGCTCCCGCCAGCCGAGAGATCCGGCGCTCGGCTCCCAGCGGCCGGCGCCTCCTCCGGCTCCCCGGGACTGACAATGAGGGGCGGGGCCACATGTGACGTCGAAGGCCCGAGGGGCGTGGTTTGTGGTGTGGGCGTGGCTTCTCTATAGACCCGCCCCCTACGTCCTCTGCCCTTCTCCAACTCTGTGGTGTATTTGAACTCGGCCAAGTTCAAGGACCAGGGTCTGTAGTAGACTCCCTGGGAATTAGACATGGAGGATAGGACTCTCTGCTTTCAAGAAGGGCACTCTCAAAGGGTTTGTGAGGATTAAATGAGATAATCCATGGAAAGTGTCTAGCTCAGGTACTGGTACAGAGTAATCCCTACACTACTTACTACAGTACTTCTGTTATTCAAAAATGTCTGCTTGAACTCAGAAAGCATGGGCTCCAGGCTAGTGGTGGTGGTGCCTGCCTGTAATTCCAGCACTGGGGAAGCTGAGGCAGAAGAATCTCAAGTTTGAGGTGAGCCTGAGAGACATAGCAAGACTATCAAAGAAACAAACACAAAAAAAGCATGCACTCCAGTTCCCTGGCTCTACTACTAATTCATCCTAGAAAAGCCTTTTCTTATCCCTGTTCTCCATTTATACCTTCTGTAACATGGGAAGAGGCAATGACCACTAGATGATCTCAGAAGTCCTTCCAGTGACTCTAGACACACTCCCCTGTGGCTCGGCTGTGTCCAAACTACACAGGGTCCAGAGAAGGGGTGTTGAAGTCATCTACCTGAATACGGACCACAGTGAGAGATACTTTCTCCCCGCAGATGCCTCCCACATGCTGGCACCCAGCAGCACCCACAAGCTGGAACACAGATGTGCTGAGGGCTGCTTTCTCTTTGACTGCAGCAGCATAGTCAGTCTCTTGAGACATCTCTTGTGTAAGCTCTTTATTGCCAGTGGAATAAAGGCCAAAGCCCTTGCTTGAGATGATCACATACACACATACATACCTTTTCACATTCTCATTCTCTTTCTCTCTCTCTCTCTCTCTCTCTCTCTCTCTCTCTCTCTCTCTCTCTCTTTCTCTCTCATTTACAAAAACTCCCTGGAGCACACCCACTGCTTTCCCACATCTGCCCTTTGTTCATGCTCTTCCCTGTTGTCCTGTCATCACACAGTCCTCCTAGCTTCCCCCTGGCCAGAAGCCACTCCTCCCTGCTCTGAATACCCAGGGGCACTGAGCTGAATGGTCGTATGGGGATGGACATGTTACAACTTCTATCAAATAGACTTTTTTTTTTTTTTTTTGGTGGAACCGGGGATTGAACTCAGCAAGTGCTTATTCTACTGAGACATCTCCCCAGCCCCTCAAATAGACTTCTTCAGTTGGTTTCTTAGCTCTTTCAGGAGGTGAGAAGCCACACATGTCTGTAGGGCTCAAGTACTGATATCAGAAAACTCTGGGGTCGTATACCCATGTTCTGTCATATACTCATGAGCCCTCTGAACCTCAGTCTCCTATCTGTAAAATGGGCCTGATAATATACTCTTTGTAATGTTTGTTTTAAAATTATGTGTGCTACTGTGTGGAAAGCAGAGTATGCCACAAATAATGTGGTTGATAGTCCTATTTTCAATATTACTGCTATCAAAAATATTTACTGCACTGACACCACATGGCACACTGTGAGAATCTACCCAATTATTTCATGATGGAAGATTTTAAAGGTCTGGGACACAAAGAGGTTTGCTGAAAGTGGCCTTGCAAAGCACTGCCATTGGAACAGGATCCAGCAGATCCCAGGTGAATTCTGCAGTCCCATCTGAGGCCCCAGAACAGCTGTGACAAGCAGCACCCCTCCAGGTTGGGTACAGCTGCGGGCTCTCCCTGCAAGCACTTTGCGGCAGAGCTGACCCGGTTCTGCCTCGTACGTTTCTCCATTCACGTTCCTTATGGAGAGATGGAGCTGAGCGAAACTGCCCTTGGCATCTCCACAGTCCTCCAGGAGAGCTGCAGCAAAACACTGGGCGTTTCCAGAGCCGGCCTGTGGGAAGAGGGGAAGGGCTTTGCAGTTCTGATTAATTTCCTGTGCTGCGGACAGGCAAATAGCTGTCCTGAAATGCCTGGGCTAGTCCTTAAGGGCCCCTAACAAATTGTGGCTTATTTTTAGAATAGGAGATCCAAAAATGCTACTTCCCATGAAAGTAAGCATGGCCACAGGATTGCTGCAGGCGCAGAAAGGCCCTTTCCTGAGCCCCTTCTGTCTGCTCACACTGATGCCAAGAACTGCAAACCCTAGGAAGGCAGAATCCAGCACACAGAGAGAGATCTGCAGGCAGGACTTCCACTGGATGTATCACTTCATCAACTGCTTATACATCTATTCACAGCAAAAACTTTCACCCAGGACAGAGGAAGAGTCCGATCCTAGCTGCACCACTGGGCCAGTTGTATGACCATGAGCTTTTAAAGTCTCTACACCTCAGTTTCTCATCTGCAAAATGGGACTAATAATAGTATCTGATAGTGTCACATGATGGCTCCCAAGATCAAAGATGGAATGAAATAACACATGGAAGAGCTTAGCTCAGAGCTTCACACCCCATTCAGGGCAGGAAACGGTGATTATTGTTACAGTTTTCACGTGCACATCTCCTGTGTGCTGGTCACTGGGCTGGAAGAATAAAAGTCCTGGCCTCTAGGAGCTCTTTCAATAAAAAGAACAGGGTAGATTTGCAAGAATAAGCAAGGAAAAGTCGCTCTTCTTTCAAGGACAACTGCTCAGGTGGTCCTCCACACATGAGGCTTTGTTAAGTGGAAAGAGGAAGAGTAAGTTGCAGAATTACGGGTTATTACGATCCCATAGTTATAATTTATAATATATGCTTAATTGATGCATAAAAATAAGAGAATGTAAAGAAATAAATGAAATCAAGTCCGCATCTTGTCCACAGCAATTAACCACTAGGAAGAATGTATAAAATGTGTTAATTATTGAAACTGTCAAAAAAAAAATACGGGGCCGGGGAGATGGCTCAGTGGAATAAGTGCTTCCCTGGCAAGCGCAAGGGTCTGAGTTCCCCGGTTCTGCCAAAAAAAAAAAAAAAGAAAGAAAGAAAGAAACTGTTCTACCAATTTGGTTTGAAACTGTCTCATTGCTATTTGTTTTCTTAATAAAATTATGGGAAAAAATAAAAGAAAAGAAAGAAATGAAGACTTTTACCTTCCCCCCCCCCTTTTTCTTTGATTTTTTTCTGTGTGTACAGAATGAACTTTCAAACTAGATTTTACTGCTGGGTGTGGTGGCACACACCTGTAATCCCAGCATTCAGGAGGCTGGGGCAGGAGGATCACTGTGAGTTCGAGGCCAGCCTGGGAGACAAAGTGAATTCAAGGCCAGCTTAAACTGCATAGCAAAACCCTGCCTCAAAAAGAGATTAATAATGATCATAATATAAAATAAGATTTCACTAGGCGCTAGATGTGATAGTATATGCCTATAATCCCAACACTCTGCAAGGCTAAGGCAAAAAGATCACAATTTCAGCCCAGCCTGGACAACATAGTGACTTAGCAAGACTCTGTCTCAAAATGAAAAATAAAAAAGAGCTTAGAATGTAGCTCAGTGCAAAGGCCCTGGGCTTAATCACTGGTACCATAAAATAACATAATAAAATCATAAAAGGCTGAGAGTATATACTATACTATCACTATGCCAATGATAATAGAGTGTCTATCCAGTATGCTGAAGGCTCTGGGTTGGCTGAGAATGTAAAAACTACCAAAAAACAAAATACTTTTTCAAAATAAAAATAAAAAGGGATGGGGACGTAGCTCAGTGGTAGAGTGCCTGCCTAACTTTCGACAAGGCCTTGGGTTCAATCTCTGAAAGGAGGGGGCCTGCCCCTTAGCTCAGTTCTTTAAGTGGCTGCTTCAACAAAGCAGTCAGGCTCAGGTTGCTGTGGTTCGATCCCCACAACTCAAGACAGCCAAACCTGCCTTGAAGGCATTCAGAGAAAAAAAATCCTTATTTCTCAATAAAATTATGGAAAAAATTTTTTAAAAAGAAAGAAAAAAATCTCTGAAAGGAAAAAAAACAGAGAGAGACTTTTCTAAATGCTAAGAGGGCAGAAAGGGGATAAAAATACAGACATAAGGCATATAAGCAGAGAATGTCTGGGCCAACGGGGCAGAGAAAGTTGCAGAGGCTCCATCTTAATCTTTGTGGGACCCAAGAGAAAGGGTCTGACACCAGAACCTTCTCCCCAGGACCCACGGCCCTATCAACTATTCATTCATTCATTCATTCACTCATCCATAGCAAAAGCTTTGGAATAAGATAAACCAAGATTCAAATCTCAGGGGCTGGGAGTGTAGCTCAGTGGTACAGCATGTATTCTACTCAACCTCAAAAATAAAATAAAGATTTAAATCTCAGTACACCATGTACCAGCTAGCGATCTTCTTTACTACCAATTCAAATATGAATCTCCTCTAGAAACACGCTCACATACACACCCAGAAGGGACCTGGGTGCCCCTTAGGCCAAGCCAAAATGACACATGAAATTAACTGTCATGCTGTCCCATGCTTGTCCTTACCCTCCTGGAGAGTAACACTGTATCAGCATATTATGTGTATTGCGCTTAAACTTGCACTTTCATCTTCCTCCATGATACCTTTCTGCATTATCTTTTTTTTTTTTTTTGCAGTATCTTTTTTATTTTTGCCATCAGCACATATTACTTTGTCATTAGGAAAAATGTAGTAAAAAGCACATATAAAAGATGCCAACCTAGTTAGGGTTGGTTCACTTTTGTTGGTTTGCAAACAATAAATTATAACACAATACCATGAAGACCAGGAGCGAGATCTCAGAGGAATCGTGGAGAGGAGGAAGAGATAAAAATTACCCTCCACTCACCTCCTATTCCCCAATTGGCATGATTTTAAGTCCCCTCACATTTCTATGTACCCACCACTACCTGTATTCCGTTCATTTATTCATTCTGCAAACATTTCTGGATTCTCTACCATAAGCCAAGACTCATTCTGAGTGCCTTACATCTACTGTCT